ACTCTTTTTCTTTTCTTCCTTTTTTCATGTAAAGGTTGGGGGGGCATATTGTTTTAAATCTCAATAAATTGCGTACTCACCAGTTATTTACTACGGCCTGATGAGGTGTGTTAATACGCATCGTAGCCTGATTGCATTTGTGTAGCGTTTTTTTTTTTTGCATGTTTTTGATGAAATATCCTAAAATTATATATATATATATATATATATATATATATATATTTATATATATATATATATATATATTTTTTCTTTTTTGGTTGTTTTCTTTCGTTTTTTGTTGTTTTTTTTTTTGTTTTTGTTTTTTTTTAAACCACAAGGCCTGAGGAAGCGAAATCGAGAAATCGAATTTTATCGGTCTCGCGAAATAAAATATTACCATGGCTTTCTGAAGTCTCCGATTTAATAATTAATTATTACTTGTTCTGTTTATTAGATTGAGCTCTCGAGATTTATATCCTCCCTGGAATTATCCATACGGATTGCCAATCAACTTTATTATATATATATATATATATATATATATATATATATATATATATATATATATATATATATATATATATATATATATATATATATATATATATATATATATATATATATATATATATATATATATATATATATATATATATATATATATATATATATATATATATATATATATATATATATATATATATATATATATATATATATATATATATATATATATATATATATATATATATATATATATATATATATATATATATATATATATATATATATATATATATATATATATAAATTTTCTAGGACGATAAAGATCAAAGGAGAGCTCCATGTCTGTCTGGGTGTAAATAGAGATAAGTATATGTATATGTGTGTATATCTGTACATATATATGTATGTACATATAAATGTGTATGTATGTGTATATTATGTGTATGTATATATGTGTGTATATATGTGTATGTATATTTGTGTATATATGTGTGTATGTAGATATAGTTTTTTATTATAAATATGTCAATGAGTAGGTATATGTTTGTAATATACATGGACGTATGTAGAGTGGCCGAAGAAAAGTTTTTAGCCAGGAGAAATAAACTACATTAAATTTCAAAATGTATTTCCGTAAACCCTATTCAACATAAATAAAGAGTATTTGGAACTAGTATGGAGTATGTCTTCCATTTGCTAGTTTATGTGCTTGTATTTTCATGAATTTGATCAAGTTATAAGTAATCGTCTGATCCGTATTTTGCCACTCCTTTAATAATGTTTCTTTAAGGGTTGCCACTGATGGGATTTTGGTTGCACACTCTCGAAGTCTTCGGTCAAGGTGCTCCCAAACGCGCTCTATTGGATTCATGTCAGGATTTTGAGCTACACATGGCAGTGACTTGATTCCTTGCGATTCCTTCCAGGCCCTTGCTACTTTGCTCGTATGACATGGCGTTCCATCTTCTTGAAAAAGGTAGACATTCCTGTCAATTTGATTGGTTTCAAATAGTGGGAGTAGTCCTTTCTCTAATATTTGACAGTATTTTGGACCGTTCAACCCGATCGTCAACAATAATCAGCTCAGATTTCCCTCCAGACCAGACAGCGCTCCACACAATTATTTCAACCCTCCATGTTTCACGCTCGCCTGCAGATATTCAGTGTTCCAAAATTCATAATCTTTGCTCTCGAAGTCTCTCCCCCAGTCCATACGTCTGTTCCTGTTAACCTCTGAAATCAAGGGTTTCTTTCTTGCAACTCTTCTTTGATACCCCAGCTCTTTCAGAATCTTTCTTACCGCATATGGCGACATTTCCATGCTATTGGCGACATCTTTGACGCTCTGACGACGTTTTCTGATGACTTCCCTCTTCGGCGCAATTTTCGTTCACTCAAACACGATTCTTCCTGAACGTTGTTCCACACGACAATGGCCTTCCTCATTAAATTTCTTGACAATATTAACCCTTTGATGATTAACCTGGAATAACCTAACAATTTCTATTTGACTTGCCACAATGATACCATCCTATTATTTGTCCTTATTGAAATTCACCAATTTTCTTACTTCCGCGAACTTTCCTTGCAAGATATAAGTCAACTATTGTTCATAGAAGAGAGTAGCTTGATACTAACACGGTATTGTCTGAAAACAAAGAAGAGACGTTATTAAACATACCAAAATTGCTTTTAAAATGGTGGCTAAAAACTTATCATAGCCCACTGTATATATAGATAGGTGTAGCTGTGTATTTCAAATACGATTCAAATATAATTTCGGATACTTTTTGAACTAAACTCGTAACTTTAATAGACATACACTGGAGAATAAAGATCCCATTTATTTTACTTTTAATTTAAAGTACCTCTGTACCCTATTAAAATGTAATAAATACATCCTGTTTAATATACTTTATAAATAGGATAAAATAAATTACCTCTGGATATCTTAATCATTAATCATTAAATCTTTCGGGTAATTTAATCTAAATCTCTTGGGGTATTATAT